GTTCTCCCTGGGTTAAAGGCAGTATTCATAGTTCGTTCTTATATTTAAGATTGTCCTAAGTCATCATCGTCGTCATCTTAACCCTGATAAAAATATTTTTCTGAAAATTTAACAAAATTTTGCTGAAACGTATTTGAAAATTTCTCTCAATCGACCCCATTAATTAATTTCATAAATATTGCAGCAATTTTTCATTAAAAAGTAACAGTTTTCAGTTTAATTCAGTAAATTTCATAATGATCATTATTTTAAAACTCTTTTATTACTTTTCAACAGTATATTTTAACTTTCCTTATATTTCATAGGGCGGTATTCATAGTCCGTTCTTATATTCAAAATCGTCTTAAGCACGGACTTATATTCGCTCTCTTCGTCACACATAGATTGTGTCTGACGAAGAGAGCGAATATAAGTTTGTACTTAAGACGATCTTGAACATAAGAACGGACTATGAATACCGGCCATAGTATTACATTAAATTTTCATACGGAAAATTATGATTCATTTTGAAATATATTCAGTAATTTTTCAAAAACTTTTATTTTACTTTTCATTGATTTCATAGTACTTTCAGCAAAATATTTCCATCAGGAAAGACACTAATATGGCTTTCTGTTTGGTTCGTAGCATCTTAAGATAATTTTTAAGACGATTTTAAGTATAAGAACAGACTATAAATACGGCTTTTAAACGGTCATTCAATTTAGTTATATTCACTACTGTGATTTCAGAACATCCGAATTTGTACATATATGCGATACTTCATCCATTCCAGAGTGGGGTCATGATAAATTAACATGTTTCTCATCAGATTATCTATCTACTATTATGACGGGGACAGAAAATGGTAAAGTTATTTTATGGGATCAGAGAAAAAGTGCTCCCATTCAAGTTTGTATTACTTTCAGATTTTATGTATCTTGTACTTTATTAGTGACATATTATTAACTGTCTTAAAAATTTTTAGATGTATCAAATAAGTCCTACAAAACACCCCGATTCTAATTTAAATACCGATATGTATTCTAATCAATTTCATAGGAAGAATATACGTTCTATACAATTTGATAGCACCCATTTGTATGCTGTTACATATGAAAATTTAATTGAATTTGATTTTAAGGGAACAAACCTTGACCACAAAAAAGTAAAAAATTTTTTTCTGAATTATTTTTAAAGTATTTAAAAAAAAAGTTAATTAAAAATTTGTCTTTTATTATATTTTGAATATTCATATAAATTATATATTTAATGTCTTAAAATAAAAATTAAAATAATAAATGTTTGTATGTAATATAATTGCTTCAAAAATCTTTATTTCTCAAAATATAGCATTAGTGTATGCAATGTTATGCAGAAACTATTTGTCCGAAACAAAAAAATTTTTAATTTTTTGCACTAATAGTTAATTTACAGACAATCATGTCTCCAACACAACAACGTATAACGTTTATTTCGAAACATTTTATAAAATTTTTATAAAATTAATTTTAAATAAAAACAACAAACTTGTTTTAAAAAAAAAATGTTTTATATAAACTACGTATTACGCGCGTTATTCCTACATTTGGAACAAATAACATATCGACGTGCTATGCTCGCCATTTCTGTGTAAGAAATTAATAAAGAACATTCCCAGTAAACAAAAGTTAACAGTAACATAACGTTAAAGTTATAATTTCCCACTCAACAATGTAACTGCAATATAACATGCTTTGTACGTAACAATTATATTGTTGAATGAGAAATTATAATATTAATGCATTTGTTACGCAAATTTTGTGTTCATGTGAACGATGAGATCTGAATATTACGTTACGCAATACGTATTACGCGAAAAATATCAATTCATGGGACTGCACCCTAAAACTTTCCTATTTACTGTTTTCAGCGAAAGTACTTTTCTGACGAGATATTCGACTGTTTCTATACTTTTGGGGTACCCTGTATATATGAGAGGTCTGTTTTGAGGTCTGTTTTTATAGCTGAACTTACTGCACTAATTCAGAATTTATCTTTCTCCTTCCAATGTGAAGGGAAAAAGATAAACTCTGAACCAGTGCAGCCTGTTCAGCTATAAAGAACAGACCTATAGTCCAGTAGTTATTGAGTCCTATGCTCCGGAGCCTTGAATAACCTTGAAAAGCTGGCATCTATCGGTGGAAGAGGCAAACGTTAATTTTGAAAGAAATAACGAAAATAATCTTTGACGGAAGAACTTTAGAATTATATTATTTTGTATTTTCTAAAGCACAGACAACTGTAAATATTACTCTATTTTAAGTGACCGCAGCGCTTGCAGTTTTGTTATGTTTTGATTATCACTTGACAACGTGCTTGGTAAAATAATCGATAAAGTTACGTGCGTGTACGGCTGTGTACGGCACAATACGAAATGGTAATTATATTGTTATTTTTATTCTTACAATTTAATAACATCATATAAATATCGTAGGAAAATATTAACGTTATGATAAATAAATTGACACAATATTTTAGCATCGTAGTGCCACATAAATGTACTTTGTCATAGATCCTATCGAGGGCCAAGCCAGCCTCGTCAGAGGGTGTTCGAAAGTCAGCGTCACGCAAGGAAATACCGAAATTAGAAGAATTCCTCGAAAAACGTGATTATATCGGAGCTTTGACATTACTGGAATTCAATAGTAGTACTGGCAGCAGTCTAGAAATGGATCTATGGATGGGATACTGTGCGTTTCATTTGGGCGATTACAAGCGTGCTGCGACAGTATATGAGAATTTAAAAAAAAAAGATTATGTACCATCAGATGTCTTGACAAATCTGGCATGCTGCTACTTTTATTTGGGAATGTATCCCGAATCGCAGAAGATCTTAGAAGATGCTGCAAATAGCAAATTGAGAACTAGACTATTGTTTCATTTGGCCCATAAGATGGGTAACGAATCAAAACTAATGGAATACCACCAAATGTTACAGGATGTTATCGAGGATCAGCTCAGTCTAGCATCTATTCATTATTTACAAGCTCATTATCAGGAAGCTATTGATGTATACAAAAGGATTTTGTTGGATAATAGGTTGGTATTCTCATATTATTCTTATATTATTGATACAGAATTTTAAAAATATCTGGATAGTTTATATTTTTTCGATTGTGGTCTTACCTTGCTGTTTTATATATGTGTAAGTTTAGAAAGAGAAAAACTAAAAGATGTGGCTCCAAAACAGATTCCGAGTTGTATTTCCTTACCCAGTTGCAGGAAAATTGCAGGTACCTGATCCTTTTCCTGATCCTTTTCTTGAGGAAATCTCCATTGTATTTTATTTGTTATTATAAAAAGTGTAAATTTTAACGTACAGTCCATAACGTGGATTTTTTCATTAAGTTCATAAATATTTTTTCAGAGATTATCTAGCTTTGAATGTGTATGTAGCATTGTGCTACTACAAATTGGATTATTATGATGTAGCTCAAGAAGTGCTGCAAGTTTATTTGCAGAAATATCCAGATAGTGCAATCGCCATTAATCTGAAAGCGTGCAATCATTTCCGTTTGTATGATGGGAATGCTGCACAAACTGAGATGAAGCAGCTCATTGAAAAGATATCCAGTTCTTTCAGTTCCGGTCATGATCTTATACGGCATAACACAGTTGTACATATAACTTTTCTGTATTTTGTTTTGCTTCTTCTCAACTCTTGTACTTCTTTCTTACTTGTAATTTTTTGGTGCAGGTATTTCGAGGTGGTGAAAATGCTCTACAAATTTTACCCAATTTGGTAGATGTCATTCCAGAAGCCAGGCTTAACTTGGTAATATATTACTTGAAACAAGATGATGTCAAAGCAGCTCATGATTTGATTAAAGATTTAGAGCCTGCAGTTCCGCAGGAATATATTTTGAAGGGCATAGTCAATGCTGTTATCGGTCAGGAGACCAATTCTGTATGTTTTATTGAGTTATTAAATCTTGTAGTTGCCATTTTAATCATGTAGAAACTTATCATTACAAAATTTCTTTAGCGCGACAGCGTAAAAACTGCGCAGCAATATTTTCAACTGGTTGGCTCGTCAGCGTCGGAGTGTGACACTATACCCGGTAGACAATGCATGGCTTCCTTCTTCTTCCTTTACCGACAATTCGAGCGAGTCCGGCTATATTTGAATTCGATAAAAACATATTTCTCCAATCAAGACAATTTCAATTTTAACTACGCCCAAGCGCAGGCCGGAGCGGGCTATTTCAAAGAAGCGGAAGAAGCTTTTCTTATGATAAGAAATGAAAAATATAAGAACGATTACGTTTACATCAGTCTTCTGTCGTATTGCTGTAAGTAATAAATATAAGCTGTTATAATTTTTATCAAAATTTGACCACACACAAGTGATGTAGTAAATATTTAATACTTACTAATTATATTTAGATGTAATGAATAAAAAGCCTCAACTGGCATGGGAATTGTATTTAAAAATGGACACATCAGCCGAATCTTTCAATCTACTTCAGTTGATTGCTAATACATGTTACAAGGTAGGCGAATTCTGGCACGCTGCTAAGGCCTTTGATATGCTGGAACGCATGGACCCGAGTCCTGAACATTGGGAAGGGAAGCGCGGCGCATGCTGCGGTACTTTCCAGTACATCGTTGCGGAGAAGCAACCGAAGTATGTGATTTGTATATTCGTGAAATATCACGTCGAGAATTTTTATTTATAATTTGTGCTCCTAATCATGTACAGAGAACTACTCTCGGAAGTGATACAGCTTCTTAAGAACACATCAAATTCTCAAGTGGAGCAGATAATACGCGTTATGCGCAAGTGGGGAAAGGACAACAGAGTGAACTGTTAATATGACATCGTTATTGATTCCGTCCAAAAAGAGCCTTGCTGCAATGATAATATATGATTAGCACTGTGATACACATATTGAACATACAAGTATATATAACACGTGTAGAAAATATAATAAAAATATTTTTAAATTTGTCTTTTTAAGAAAATTGAATAAACGCGGGATAATTTATCGTTATATTGTTGTACTTTTAATCTGATATATATTTTTGGCCAGTTGAATCGCCAAGATATACAATCTTGATAACTTTTCAAGGATCGAAAAACTACTTCCGCTATTTTGTATTTAATTAAGATAACTTTCGTGCAACACGTTCTGCAAAGGAGCGATACATATTTTTTATTGCTTTTATTATCTCTCGTCGAATTGTGTAATTGATACATTTGTAATGAGGAGTTATAATTTTTTATTTACACACAGAGAGTAAGAAAGTAATAAAAATTGTTAATATGTGTACATTTTATAAATAATTTGAGAAAACAAAAAAATCTGTAATATAAATTAAAAAATAACACCTCATTATCGATTTAATATAAAATAGATATATTTAAATTGTAGTACACTCATTTTTTTAATATAATATCAATAATACAATAATATTATAATAGCAATAATAATAATTAATTTTAACAAACACAATCGGTGAATTGTAAAAACACCGTAGTCAATGGCAATACTATTTTTACATTTGCATTCTTGATCAATCTTTAAATCGCGAATTATTTTTGAAAAACTGCAAGCATCTAAACGCGCATAGAAGATCGGCTTGCGTTTATAGATCACAGTTTACCACAAACATTTCCGGTGGAATGGCTGCTAGATTGAGTATGAAAAAGAAGGAAGGAATAAAGAAGGAGGAAGAGGACGCTAGTCGTTCTGAACGTTAGCATCTTAAGAATTGAGCAGAGTAAATACTTTAACGTTTAACCACTCAAGTAACAATGTCATGACAAAGTGAAAATTCTGTCACTAATTTCTTGAATCTGGACTGGAAAAACAAATCTATCGTGTTATTCAATTATCGATACGCTATCTAGAAGGAAAAAATTATACTTTATGTACATATACAAAAATTTTTGAACCGAACAATGGTGTGCCGATAAATAATAAAATATGATAAGAGTATTGCAGTATGTTTTCGCATCTCTTGCGGAATCTCTCCAATATTCTCTTCCCAGTCCAATTCTGCTAACTTCAAACTTATCTCGCATCTCCTTCAGGAAAGACAGAAAAAAGAATGTTTCTCTTCAATCGTTATTAGCCCTCTACACTGTGTTTACTCGACGCGTTCGCGAACTTGGAGAAAGAGTGCCCGATATACAAGTAATCGCTACATCGTCACTGCATTATAAAAATAGCACCAAGGAATTTCAGCGTTTTTCGCATTTTCTTTTTTTTCGGCGGAATTTCAGGCGCACTATGCTACGGATTTTTTTTTTTATATGTGGGATACCTCACGCACTATAAATGGCACTCGTTCTCCGAAACGCGCTTCGTCGCCTCACGCCGAGGAGCTTCGGAAATTCATACACACTTATTCGATTATTACATCCCATTAATTTTTTAAAATACATCATTGTTTCCTCCGAGTCGCGTGATGCATACGTACGTTGTGTCAAATGTCGAACAGACTAAGACGTAGATTTAGTAAGACTACGCTACTAGTAGTAGATACGGTAATGATACAGCGGGGATTTTTTGCAAAATTTTACTTTGCTATATATAAATTGTGACAATACTCTCTTCTCTGTCTCTCTCTTTCACACGCACAGTCGTACATTTACCGTCACTTTCGCACTTCTCACTCGCGCGCTTCCGTTAATGGGGAATTCGCGCTCCCATTCACACCGCGTGCCGATACGATACATGGAGAAAAGTTGACTTTTTTTTTTGGCAATTCCGATTGCCAACACCCGATCGAGCTCCGTACTTTAGCACGGTTGGGCGTGCTTTACCGTAATATATGTATATTAAAGGATATCAAAGCGAAACTCACAGTGTGCGATAAATTCCCGAAATAAAATTCGAAATAACTTCTGTTACAGAAATGCATTGCTTTCCGTAGCAGGGAGATTATAAAATGTGAATTTCGCTTTTATACTTCTGATTTCAGTTCTGAGAGCTCAGTGAACGTTTGTGAGCGATTGCCAGAACATTTCGGTGTCGGTTCTACTCATCATTTCGTAATATCTTTCACACCTTTTGTCCTCGAGTTACAGTAATAATCTTAAGAAACAATCACTTTTTCGGCACTAATGTTGAATGTCGAAAGGTTTACATTAAATGACAAATTTTTTAAATAAATATATTATATCTTTTAAATGAATATATTAATTTTTTCTTCAAGAGTCGAACGATTAATTTTTTTCTCTCTCACATTTTCTCTTGAACCTAAGTTTCCAGACTTAGTTATTTTAACAGATACTACGTGGTACGTATATCACCAGCTAAGAATTTGGGACGTATTGTTGAGGGATGTATTGACTATAAACAAAAATTCTACAATCCAATTCTTAGCTTTTCGTAAAGACAATATTCATAACAATAAAGTACCATATAAATCCTTAGATTTGTCATATACGAATTAAACCGACAGGCATGAGCAACATTCGTGCTTGTTTGCCCAACGAATTACTGCACTCGAACGGACGACGAATGCTGCAATAATACATTTATCGAAGGATCCGTATAGCGCGTAAGTCCGATTAAGCGAACGTACAGGCGCGATCTACGCGGCATAAGAATCGCCTCGGCTTATATATATATATATATACATATATATATATGCATATCGATAAGTTACACGATAAGATAGTAGTAAGAAAACGACTACTTAAAAATCCATGTACACAGAGTATTTATAATAGAACGGCTACGCCGTTCGGAAATTCTCTCTCTTTCTCTCACTTTTTTTTACCGCCACGATAGAAGTTAACATTGGCAGAATATATGAATCACTTTTTAATGTATTTTTTGTTAGCTAGAGACGAGCGAGATCCGAAGTGATGAATCGCGACACGAATGCGTGCCTCTGAATGCGTGTAAATCACACGTGTCGTTTGGCATTTTCATATGGCATTGCTCAGTGTTTAAAGAGGTGGTTCGACGCTCTAGTATCGAAAAAACGGAGGCTCTTCACGGAAAACGATGCGTTGGATTGGCAGCATTAATAATTTGTGCTACATAGATATGCGTAATTTTTTCACGCCGCAGTCTTTATAAATCGTTAACAAAAGGAATCTTTTCATCGGTTTGTTCTCTTTAATCTCCCCCTCTCATGTTTGATCGATTCTTCTGTCGTGTGCCTATAATTACTTACTGGCTGACGAGAAATGCAAAAAGTACAATTGGATTCTTCTATTCTTAATCAGCTAGGATCTTTTCTTCCTGTCCAGTTCTGTCATTGCTCACATTTGCTTGTAACCACATGATGCGAACACGCGTAAAATAAAATTGTTGATGTGCTCACGATCAAATCAACAGTTTTGTTATGATAGAAATAAAAATAAAAGGAATATATTTAATACGTTCGGTTTCAATGGTTAAAAACAGAAGGATCCAACGTATACAATGGATGTTTATACTTGTTGAAAAATAAATGCCGAGTGAGTTGAACTGAACGTTCGAGTATTTGTCCTTAAAATTCGAAAAGACAAATGGAGAGATTTCACATTCTCTAATCGACTTGTATTCGAACTAGAACGATGCTCCTTTCGCGGTACTGAAATATATGAGTATTTTAATCCTTAAATAATATTAAAAGAGGAATTTGCATCGCGCTTATGCATCGATTATGCACTACTTGCGCTTCACAGAAGGAAAAAACGTCGCGAAAGGATCATTAGCCTATCTCAGTCTGTGTCAAGCTTGGTCTTTAGTTACTTTTGGTGTTCGCACAATCCGTGGCACGCTCAGGAGCAAACGTAAAAATATTATACGTAGTCCCTTTTACATCCGGATTTCTCTCTCTTCTTTCGTTTGTAGCTGCGCGTGAGGCTGTGCGTCGCCACGCTGTTCAGCGCTGCTTTCGTGCATGCCACGGCACTTATATCCTAATTTCTATCCCTAAAACAAACAAACATTCTTTCTTTCTCTCAAGATTCACGATTTCCTGAGACCCGAGCGGGAGATAATTCGAAATTACTGTTGGCAAAATAGTGGTAAGTTTCAAATACCGACACCCCCGGATCGTCGATACTCACCCTGGTCCTGGATAGTAATAAGGAGGTGGTCGTTCATATTCGGTGCTTAGAGGAGGCGGGGCCCCGGCAGCTGGTTGATACCTTGGCGGACCACCGTTGGGGAAGTCCCAATTTCTGCAAAAACAGCCACTCGTGAGCTCGATAATTACGCACGGTTGAACGGCGTTGAAATTTCAGTTCATAAGTTCATAGCATTTGTGCTTCCTAATTAGTACTGATTCGCTTAACCCTTTCCGCTGACCATCAGGACAAAGACACTACTAAGAGTCTTGGCAGTGAAAGGGCTAAACATTCATCTATTCACCTTGCCACAGTAAAATGCCTTAGCGAAAACTAATATATGATACAGCAGCCGCCCAAGCGTAAAATGAAAGTAACATCTTAACGCGACTGAAATGTCCCGATTGCAAAATATATTACCGGTTCTGGAGTGGACATGCTTCTCCGCGAAGGAAACATTGTACAAGTAAAGTAAGCTAAATTAATATTACAGAATGGAATAAATTACTCGGCATAAAAATCCATTGACAACAATATATCTAATAACTGCTCTTGAATATACTTTATTCCAGTCGATGACAAGGGTTTCCGCGATGGAAAGAAGAGACTCGAACCGATCACTCGGATCCTGTTTCAGGTGTGTCTTGTTACATTTCTTGCGGAAAGCCTGGTTCTCTTGCAAAGCTATTCGGTAAACACGACCAATTCAACAAAATAGATCGAACGAGCACGGAACGCAGGAGAAGGAAGAAACATTTGTAACAATAGTCTTTGCGACTTACGTGCAGAGGCGTATCGTGAGACGCGAGAGGTCGACCCCCCCGCAGGGTTCCCACTCACCTGGAAAGAACCGGGAGAAAAATCGTGACCATCGGGATTGTAATTCAAATGCGTCAACATGATACTAGATTCAACAGTCAGACCTCAGAACGTCTCGCGCGCGCGCGCTAAAATCAGTGAAAATCGCACAAACGATCGACGTCGTTTTTCCGCCCGCCCGGAAGTAGAAACACGAATGTCATATGCTGCAATTGCGGGCCGCGACGGGCATATGAGACTTGTCCTTCTACCGCCAGTCGAACGACGTCGCTCGTATGAGCCTTAAGCTACAGAAGAGACAATGCAAGATCATTCGATGAGTGGGAACCCTGCTCGTGCCGAGGGCGAAAAAAATCATGAGGGGGATCATTCTGACCGCCGTGGTGTTTCGATATACTCAAATAAAGTGAAAGCATTACGTTTCACAGAAAGCTGTCTTATCGCACCGTTTAGAGACTTACTGCGATTCTAGTGATACGCTAAAGACTTTATTGTGAGGTTCTGTTTTGGAAGGGGCGGTATGTTCGTGGTTTCGCCACGATAGGGTGAAACTGTAAAGAAATAAGTGACTGATGAAAGGGTGAGAGAGAGAGAGAGAGAGAGAAAGAGTGACGTCACCACGATGACAGCGTTATGCGCTGTGCAACGCGTTCATAACGTCCCATTCTCAGCGCTTAATCGATATGCATACAAATGTGAGTGACACAAGGCTGTCAAAAAGGGAGAAACTTTACTTTCAGGATGGTTAAAGTAAGTATGAGATGGCCGCGAGAACGAAAGTGCTCTACTCACTTCGGCGCCAAGTCGGCGTATCTCGAGTCGTGATGCGACGTGCTCTGATGAGCGTCGGGAATCCTCTCGCGCTCGCTGTATCCTACCGCCGGGCCGTCGTAGCTCTCAACGTACGCCGCGGGATGATGCCTGCCGTGGGAGGAGTGCTTCTTGTCGTGGACGCTGAAAGCAAAGCGCGCGGCGTTTACTTAAGACGCAATCCGCCGCGGACGACACGAGCACTCGTCATGCGAGTTAGAGATCAAGTGTTATCGTACGCTAAGCCGCGGTGTATATCGGTTAAGAATCTTTGTGATCAGTGTTTCCCAAGTTTCTTTCGACCGTACAATCCTGCAAAATTTCACAAAACATCACACAATTCTCAATTGCGCCATTCGTTTTTACATATTTCTCGTTACTTTGTACTCCGAAATAATTCCATTTGGGAAACGCTTTTCTGAACAGTGTGCATTAATTTTACAAGCTGCATGTGAACTCGCGGAATGATGAATTGCATTTCGCTGCTTAGCAGACTGCAGTATCACCGTAAGTTGCTGTTTTTGCATGGCGTAATAATGAATGAAGCGGGTTGAGCGCGATGGAATTAAGTCGAACGGGATTGAATGGGATGGGATAAAATTGAATGGAATTTTGGAACAAAGACTTGTTCGCCGACTCACTTCAACCCGCTTCAATTTACTTTGTTAATTGGAGATTTAATAGGCGGACTCATTGTTAGACTGCTTAATTATTATGCGAACTCAGTATGCAGTTTTTGAATTAAAGAACACTTTCCAGACGATAGTAGCCGGTGCTGTACGCTTAATCTAAAAGCCGTCATCTATTCGCATACGTATTTCGCCTAAAGAAGCTCTTAAACAGAAAGTAATAATACTAAGTTAGTTAACGGGAGTGATTGAACAAGCGAAAAATAAACTTTAGAACGCTTCAACAAAAACTCAATATGCAACATATCTTACAACGAGTAAAGACTACGTCGGTGGAAAATGTTAGTACGGGGTGCGTGTTATAAAAATCAAGATATTAACAAAAAACATTCAAAACGACATAAGTAGAGATCATTGTTCAAATATATATTTTCAATTTTAAACAAGATAATATCAAACTTCTTTCTTATATCACTGAGATATTTGAGAATTCTAGTTTTAATTGAATAAAGATTCGAAGGGATCGAGACGTATATTTGAATAATGAAGTGACCATTTACATCACATTATTTATCCGCGCAAAAAAGGATTACTATCTTCCGAGTAGCGCGTAGTGGCCCCTTTTTTCTTCCCTGGCGAAGAAAAGAGAAGCAAAGAAACGCGTTTCCGTTGAGAAAATATTTTTCTGAATCACTGAAAATCGGACCACCACTTTAGAGAGAGTTTCAGCGAAAAACGAGGCAGAAAAAAAACCGTCGTACTGCTTCAACAGTTTTTAATATCGCATTCGGAGCGCTAACGATAAGTGTCACATTCATGCGTGTATCTTGGGATACGTGGGACATGCGAGCACATTGTGGCTTTGACGTGGTATACTTACTGGGCGAGGGGTATGTTATCCCTGTCTGCGTACGCGTCATACAAATATTCACTGTAACGGAGCGTGTTAGCGGTTAGATTCCAACAACCATTCCACACATTAGACGGCTACTTTAAACATAATCTAAACTACCGCGACGGACCGCGACTAATCGGCTTAAGTGAGACGACAGATTTTCCTTAATCATTTCGTTGCGGGACGTTATCTTGCGCCGGAAAACGCGCGCTCGAGATGTATTCGGGCTACTTTGGCAGAGAATACGGTTTATTACATAAACGTAGGTTATTAAACAGTACGAGCAATTAAATTGAAATTGTATTAGTAATTTTGATGGCACAAAATCACTCACTGTTATGTTAGAATTGTTAATTTGCATACATTACGCAGGAAATGTTTGAACTAAAAATGCGGGGCAGTTACGCATCTCAGACAATTGTCTCCGTTTCTTAATGGATTTCCGAGATTTCGAGAAATTTCGAACCAGAAAGGATTTCTTTGTCAATAAACCAGGACATGCCGGCAATAAAAGAAAATGTTACAAAGCGCGAATAAGTACATGCTATGATATACGGAAGCTCGAGAGTGACTACGGAAATAAAAGAATTAACAGTTTCTACATGAAGGGGTGCTCAGAGATTCGTCGGACGTTGAGATTCGCAGAGAAGGGAGAAAAGGGAATTATCGCCCTCTGAATTTCAAAGTGCTTAATTTCTTGTGACTCATTTTCTTAGGCTTGTAATCGTTATTTGGGACACGTTAATCAATAAGTGATTTATCTGATGCATTGATATCGATCAACGATGGATCTACTGAAGACACATTAGTATATCAAATATCGTCATGCACCATAGAGCCGAATGGAGGAGTGAAAAAAAACAAGTAAGAAAATACATCTCTTGGGTCGCAGATCGTAAGTTGTTACATCTACAGGAAGAGAGCGGAAACTTACGCTTCAACCAGAGGTCCTGGATATGGATCTGACTTTTGATACAGAGCGCTCAGCTTCACACAGAGCACTATCGTCGGTATGAATAGGATCAAGCACCAGCCAACGCTCGCCCAGAAGCCGTTCTGTATATAAATGCAAATAGAGGCATGAATATTAATTCTCCGCTTAATTTTGCAACGCCCGTTGCTCGCGCAATACTTCAGTTATCACCCGACGCGACAAATATGCTTGTCAACTAGGAAACTTGCCAGAGCGGTGGAGAAGTTTAATGAGAACGACAGAAGTCCATGTGACAGGTATGCGATGGACAATTAGCGATTCCGATGAGCTTGAACTCATCGGCGATCAAAGTACTGATTTAAGAATATCTTCGCACTTAAATGATGCAATACTTACGAATGGATCTAGGACCTTGTTACATCCTGCCACGAGCGTTGCGTTGTAAGCGTTCGAAACGGGACCGCATCTTCCGATTTTGAAAACCGCGGACTCGATCACGTGTTCGAGGAAGTTGTCCACTTGATGCAAGAATGCATTGCCGAATCTAGTCGCGAGCTGCAAAAACAGTATTAAAAATATTAATTATTTTCAATTACGATTGCGAGAATGAACGCTGGAAAACAATTGAAACGTACGTATTGAACGTATTCTGGTCCGTCTTTATTTAAAAATTGTTGTGCCTTGGTGACTTCATCCACTAAATCGTGAATAGCGTCCGCCATTGAACTATGATTGAATTTAATGTTCTCTTGAAGCGTCAGTGCGTTCGCGCTTAATTGCTCGCTGAGCGTGGCCATCGGCATGACCAGGTCTCTGTGATAGTGTTCCAAGTCATGCGCATTCTTCTCAAGGCTGAGCTTAATTTCATCCTGTCCATCCGGCAATTTAGCGGAAACTTCCCGTAATTGCTTGGCAAGATGTTCCAAGTTAATGTTTGTGATGTTTTCGGCGAGGAGCTCGGCGTACTGGTAGAATTTGATGTCGCTAAGACCGCTCTGAGCCAAATCGTTCAGCTTCGACCTCGCGCTGTCTTTCAGAATCACCACGCCGGGGGAGAGGCTGATCTTGCGACGCAATTGTTGAATCGTATCGTTGATGTCGTAACGTCCTGCGTAATCGCGCAGACTTTGAACATCGAACACATTTTTCAGATTCAGCACGTTGTAGAGCGTCTCATTTTGATGGCATTTGCTGTAACACAAGCGTCAAATATTGATTCGATATCGATCAAATGCAGGATTATCATATTTCTAAAATCATTTTACACAGCACTTTACAACTGATAATACAGTTTGAGTCTTCACTTAGAAAATTACTAGCAAATTATGCAACAAGATCATGTACTGAAAGTTAAAAAATACAGAAATTACTTACGTAACAATATAACTCATATTGATATTTGCATTAGAATTCTTAGGATAGAGGATCCTCTTGATTTGCACAAGCTCGTCGACCAGCTCGAACATCCTGTTGTCTTTCGGATTCTTTAATGGTTCGCAGATGCCGCGTTGAGCCATAACGCCGGTTATCATGTGAACGACGGTTACAACCATCAGAACGCTCGTTAAAAGGAAGATGATCCATACAGCCCTGCGATATAAAACGTTACAGCGGTAATAAAAAAAAAAAGTAATAAATAGCGAGCGATTCCAACGAGTTTTGCACCTACATCATAAGAAACCGTGCACCCGATCCTTTATTACAGCAATCGTCTCCGTATCCGTCCGGGCGCTTTCCGCAAATACCACAGAGAAGGCCACACGTTAAACACATTAAGACAGTCAGAAGAATACCGGATATACCCAGACCAAGATAGTACCTAAAATATAATATTGATGGATCGTTATGCCAATATCCGCCTTTTGCCTCGATACATTCGTCACAAGTTTATTTATCCACGAACCTATAGGGCGAATACTGATCTATATTGTTCCGGGCAACTTCTAAATGCCGAATATAAACCCTATCTATGTCGACGTTTATTCTGTCGATGATGGCAGTCATGTTGTTGGCGATGCTCGCCAGGAAGTCGCATGCTCGTCGGATGCTCGCGCTGACCACAGGTATTGTCTGATTAACGGCGTGCTGAATGTCCTTCTGAATCTTCAGAAACGAGTCCCTGCCTTGGCTCACTTCTGACACTATATTGCCCTCCATGAGCACCGTGATGTTGTGCAACGCGAATGTAACATCTGGCAGCTGAAAAGTATCATCCCAGAACATGCTTTTCATTGATATTAATAGAAAATAGCTAATAAAATTCATCACGCAAAGTAGATTAAAATGCTAGATATGAATGTTTCATGCTAAAAATTCGACCATCAAAGTCAAAAGACGTGCCATTTATTTACTAAATTTCAAGAAATCTAATTTTATACAGAGTATAGAAATATAGAAGAAAAATATATATCATATGTGTGCATATCTCGAAACTAGAATAATATTTTTTAAAAGTTTGATTACACTCTGGGGATGTATTTCAGTTGGGAGTGGCGATAAAAATATATTACATAAATATGTCTATAACTGTAAAATTTCTGTGCTTAATTAAAATAGTCCTCCTTTTATAAAATACATTTTTTTCAATTACTTACTAATTTAAGATTATTTACTTTTGCTTTCGATAAAAAACTGCAAGTAATAAATGTTTGGAAAGAGTTTTATTAACACTTTGACGCAGGGTATTAGTATATAAAGAAATATATACATAATGTCGATACGAATATACGAGATAAGGCACAGAATAAATATTAGATAATGGCGCTAGATGGTGACATAAGGGAGCGCCGGAGAAATTGCGGATACCAGCCGATAACCGTTGGCACAGCAAAATTTCACGTACAATGGCCGTCAAAATGTCAATAGATCTATGTAATGTGCATTGCATTTTGGCAAATATTTCTACTCGTGCAAATTATTACTCTGCAAAATTAATCAAACGATGCAAATAAATATATCTATATGAAACGATGTACACATAAGTAAGGAAACTGCATGCTTCGCTTACAACTTACAGACGCTAGAAGCTATTTGTGGCAAGCATGGAATCAAATTATTTATACAGTATCTCTCCTTCACTAATGATCACGCGATATGCCGTGAATATAATGTCTGATATTGATTCTCGTTTTAATATTGATTCAGATAAAAATAACTACTGATAAACAAATAAAAACAATCGCATTGATGTGTCCAATGCGAATTCACGAACCCTCCTTGAATTGTGATATGTATCATGCATTATATATTTTAATTCTCTGGATCTTAATTAATCAAACTATTTAATATATGATCTAAAAGTTAAAGCGAGAAGTTAAATGCTCACTAGATCGAATCGTTCAAAAAGATTCGTGACATTAGTGACTTTATTTATTAAGAAGCCTTATTATAAGCAAAGAAAACGAAGGCCAGCCTTGTACAAATCTACCGATTTCGATACATTTAAGAGTCACTTTTTCATGCACTTAAATCTCGATATATTGTGTGCTCAGAGATAACGAAAACAATCGTCAAATGCAAATGTTGAGAATTTCAACTTTTTTTTTAAATAAATTTTGCTATATATCGATGGCATTTTTTATTAAATTTTATACCGAACAAAGAATCTTTTTCATCGTGGAATCATACCTTTGGGAAGTAACGGTCCATGTACTGCGTGTAAACAAGGAAAACGCACGTCAGGTAATTAGATAATGTAGTATCTATGATAAGAAACAGCTTGCATTTACTTACTTTATCAAAGTCCACTTGTACCGACATCTGATTCACTTTGTAGTCGTGTAGAACCCGTTGACACTTGTCAGTTGTGCATGCAGCCAGCGTATGGAGAAGATTTTTCTTGACGCCACGAACAACTGAAAATTAATCCTTTAGTTCGGAGACACTCTTCTTCAGTATAAAATGACATGTAATAAAAATATTCACCCATTTATTTATAAAACGCAAAAAACAATTTATTCGCACATAAAAAAAGACGATAAAGTAGCTGATTGTTAAAGTAATTAAGAATTTTAAGAGTTTTATCTAATCATAGATCAGTTAATTGTTCAGAGTTGAATCATTAATAATAAAATATTTACTAACTTTAATAAAAGAATAATAAAACTGTTCTAAAAATCTAAAAACAATATAAATTTATCAAAAATTTTAATAAAATAATTTGAATTTATATCTGAAGAATACAAACTGTAAAACCGAAATATAAAGATAATCAATTTTCTAATTGTTCAATAAAATTGCAGAGTTACGCACCAATGTCTAATTGACTGGCGTTTATTCGCAATTCTTGCGTTATCTTGTTCATCAATTTCAGATCCTCCCGGATTGATTCCAACCCAGCAACGATGTCGTTCAGATTCGTTAGAGAGACGGCGTGTGAATATTCCGCCAGTTGCTCGGTAACGATTTTGCCGCTGGCCTGCAGAATATTGTTCAGCGTAACTTCCAACTCCTCGGGATTGGTTTTGAGCAAATTGTCGATCTCTTGTTTCGTGGTAGTCAAATAGAGTTTGACGTCCTTCAGACTAGTCTTGGCGTTATACGGAAGATCTTTGGTTCCCTCCTGCATGTACTCATTTGTCACGAAAGCGCACACCACGCCGAATCTGTAATCATTAATCGCTCATATGTACATCTAAATTTCATTCTGACAGACACAAGCGAAGACACGGCGTGGAAATAGAATTGTCACATTTTACACCGTTAAATACGTTTGCGTCTCGAATATTAATACCATATTTTGAGGAAAGTGAGTTAATTGCGCTCGGGACAATTAAATTTCGAAGAGAGAGAGGACAGTTAATCATCGCAGTAAAACTGTGTTACACATAATATATTAATGCATTCATTAATTCTTCAAGTACAAGAAAGCAAGCGCGCTTTAGAAATTTCCCAGTTTCGTGAAATTGTAATATGACACATGTCAATAATAGAATAGAACTGTATGCGGCGTTCTTATTGATTTAATTGACAAGAAATTATCTTTTGTTTATGTAGTATCGCTGCATAGCGAATGGTACCGCTGTGTAACATGCAGTAGCTAAGCAAAGTTCAAAGTTGAATCAGATTAAGGCCACCGTGAATGTGTGAAAAAATCGAATCTCCTGAAAGAGTTACGTAAAGCTTATTAGAGCTGTAAAATGTGTTGTTTTTTTTCACACTAAAACTCCTTAAATGCTTCGAATTACGTCTTAGCAATCCGGGTGTTCTGTGAGGTGGAAGAAACTTACAACAAAATGGTAGCCACTCCGATTAGCACGATGCTAAGCATTATTTTCCTACAGTGATCATGCTTCTTGTCGAAGGGCTGACTTCGGGCGCCGCAATGTCCCGCGCATCTGCAACAGCAGAAGAAAAGACCGGCGCAGGGGAGAATAGTTGCCAGGAGAAGTCCAATCAGAGCGAGACCAGCCAGCCCTCCGTAATGTGTTACTATAATCTTCCACTCCTTCAGAGGGTCCGCGAAAACCGGCACGCCGTCAACCAGGGTGATCATACCTGCGAACCGGAAATGCAATGATATAATGTCTGTCGCGCGATACAATTATCCGAAATATCTTAGTATATAAAAATTTGCACGTGCGATTATACGAGACATCGTGGTATAATTATGAGTGTCGTTTTCGCCGGAAAGTTATCGCGTCACCAAAATTTAATTAAAAGAATTTGGCTCGGGTTAACTGGGTCGCGGGCTGACTAAGTCATCCTTCACTGTCTGCATTTTAGGCGGGAATGCAATCTAGAAGAGCAGACTGCGCGTTGCTGCAATCGAGCCGACGAATGCGAGCATGCCAATTTCTTGGCAGCAACAGCATTGCCGTCTGTAATGTGCATTTCAAAGCTCGGTCAGCGGTTTATATAACTCCCATGTATAACGGCATCTCTCACATTAAAAGAAAGAAAAAAAAAAAAGGTGGAGAGTCCAGAAACGTACGTCCTATACGGACGACTGCGTCCTAAACGGATTATTGAATGGAAACTCGTTATGTGAACCGCGTACAAGATTCTTGATATCGCAGAGGCGAACCCCTTCCGTTAATTCCCAGGGGACGGCAGAAGCCATCCCGTAGAAACAGCAAAGAAGTGGACGTGCGCGACGCATAAAGATAGCGTACGTGTAGCGGAGTCCTACGTGTTTTCCATCGGAAACAGCTGATGGCTGCGTCCTTTCCCCGGGCGGGGAGGGACCGGGCTGAACGAGCGGAATGAGGACGCGTCTCGGATGTGGGTCATAGGTCAGGGTGCCGGAAGGGCCGCCGGGTCGCAGGCGGAAAACAACGGAGTCGCGCGGCGAAATATTATCTGCCGGGTAATGTTAAACCCAAGAAAATGGGTCGGCGCTCCGATTGGTCGTTCGGTCGGTGGCTGCGTTTTACATTTGCCGGCCGTAAACCGTGGCAAGCTGAATCGATCTACATCCAACGATCCTCTGCGCGCTTTTCCACGCTCGCGTACGCACGCGCGATGCAATCGCGGCTGCGGGTCACAACAGGAACTTGAGAACGAATCGGAGAAACGTCGCAGTATTCCCTCTTCCATTCCCATTCGGCGGGATCTCATATTTTAAAGCTGTTTTCGAGCGGTCTGGCGAGAAGAATAATGCGCAGCGCGGAACGCTTGAGTTAATCTTCGTGGTACGCTAGTTGATTCTGGAATAGCACGGTTGATTTTATGCAACGAGATCGCATGCATCTGGACCGCTTGCTCTAGATATTCGCATTTATCGCGAATCACTGGCGTGTCAGTGATGCGTGAAAGGATTCCTTTCTCTTTATTCTTGTTAAGCTCTTTCCCGAAGATGTTAATGCGACGATAATAATGCAAAATTCCAAGCAGAAGTGTACTATGATGACATAAATTTATTATTTCAAGGTTGATATTCTATTCTTTATATTTTGATATGATTGATAGAATTTTGGTTCTTTTTCAAAAATTCTAGACTTTCTAATATGTGTTTGACGTAATTTTGACAATTTAAGTAAATAAAGATCCGAAAATGTAAGACGCAAAGTTCATATTTTCATTTACGAAAACTGATAACTTTTTAAAGAGTTTTAAACGTAATTAATTTTTTTCAGTTTAATTAGATAAATAATCGCATAGCACAAATATCAAAACCTTCAATATCTAACATAAGATTAATTCTAAATGTCAAAATCTTGAAATTATAATTAACTTTTTTAACAATAATAATTAAATTATTATAATATTTAAAGAAAATGTTAATTTTGATCACATTACCTCTGATTGAGTTTGCGAAACAGCTAAATGAATCATGCCAAATTCGCCCAACCCGAATTACCGTACACATCTCTATGATCCCGAAAGCAACGCTCTCGTTTGCAGACCGTCATCAAAGTGGAGGCCACTGTCAATCAAGTTCCATGAATCGTGGACCCAGAGAGGGTTTTGAGGACGACACTAGTTAGCAATAGGCAACGGTAATAGCGACAGAAAGAACAGGTCGTGATTGCTCTCGTTAGGGAGCGTGTATACAGGGTGTTTGGTGAATCGATAATAGAGGAAATTTCAGCGAGAATCACCATTTGAAAATTTCATTGACTGGCCTTCATAATTAAGCTTTAAATTCGATTTTTATTAACGTCCAACGTAAAAAAAGAAATATTCTATCACTATTTATAATAGAATCTCAAAAGCTCGTTGACCCTCGTATATATCTATAAATAAAACAAGCGCTATAGGCTTTAACATAATAAGCAGGACAGGGATGCGTTTTTTTTATAGAAGACAATAAAATCTATAATCTGTTTTTGGCGCGGAAAAGGACGTTGATGACGTTCTCAGCGTACAAAGACGGTTTGATAAAAAGACATCTTCTCATTAATGTTATCGCAGTTGTGCAATAAAAGAATAATGATTCTAGTCTCATAAAAATTTGAAAGTTAATCCATTTTTTATTTTGTAAAATGGATCTAAATTTATTACAAAATATGCACTTTTTATGTTTGTTCTGTTTTTCAGCTGTGTGAATACAGACATTAACAAAAAAACAATATTGTAAAAACATATTTATATATACTAGGTGCGCAATTAAGTTTCCGGGTTTTTTTTTATCAATGCAAAATGGAAAATTTCAAGAGAAATACAAAAAACGGTTTATTCAAAGTATCGTCCCTCGCTAGCTACACATTTTTGCCATCTCTCTGGCAATACATGAATACCGCGACGATAAAACGACGCGTCTTTGCATCGAAACCATTTATCCAAT